CAGACACCCAAGGGCTCTAGGGGAGCTTAGGCCATGTAGGAGGCATTCAGAAGTCCTGGGTTGGACCAGGGTGGAGTAAAGCCTGGAAGTCTGGAAGCCACACACCTGAGAAGGTGCTAAGCGTGGAAGCACAGGAAGTTAGAGGGCAGACAGCAGCACTCACAGTGAGAGAGACACCCCTTAGCTCTTAACTCCCAGAAAGACCAGGATAGCTGTGAAGGGTGAATCTATAGGTTTGGCAATCTTCAGGAAAACTTTTGTAAGCGACCTTACCCTCGAACTGGGAAGATTTGGGGTAGAGGGGAGGGGGAACCTATTAAGAGCATCCAGACATTTATTGACTCTTTCACATGCCAGGCACTGAAGACAGTTTAAATTAACTTAATTAACATTAAAATTTAGTTCATCCCACTAGGCACATTTGAACTGCTCAACATTGCTCAGCACACTTATAGAATATTTCCATCATCACAGAAAGTTCTTTTGGGCAGAGTTGTTCTAGAATGTCAGTGTCTTGAAGCTACAACCTTTATGAGTAGTCCATAAATAAATAACAGTGTTGAAATGGCATTAATTGCTTAATCATTGCAGACTCAGCACTGATTTAAAATAAGTGCCCCCAAAATATGGACTCACTAAAAGCAAAACTTGCAGGAAAACATTCCATCTCTTTCTCTAGTATCAGTCACCATATTGATAGACTGTCACAAAGGAGAAGAAACAGGAAACAGCAGATGTGTTCTATCAGTGTCATGATAAACTTTGAAGGGAAAAAGAACAGATGGAAAATGAACCTCGTGGTATCTTTAAGGAGTAATACTTTTCTGTTGGAAGGTATATTCTAGTGACTTCTGACTGTGAATGATGTTATCTTACAGTTACCTCGGAAGGAGAAAAAGAATAAATATTTTTAAAAATTAGAATCAAGAGTAAATTGAATTATACATTTTCTGCTGAAAAATGTAGAAACCATGCAGTTGGCCTTAGAGGTTGCCATTTCCAAGTACTCAGTTGCAGATTTTAACATTGATTTTGTTCTTTGAGGTTATTTCCGAAATTTCTAATTTAAAAA